CTGTGTCCCTATACTACCTGTTTCTGATACAGTGCAGACCTTCTAGCTGTTCGTTGTGACTTCCCATGCATTTGTGAGGATTTAGGGAGAACTTGTCACCTAGTTGTGTCGTAGATGCCGTCTGTGGTTTTTGATTTTGCTATTCTAGTTGCTCTATCAATTTGGTAAGATTTGGGGATATTCAAAAACTATACACCCACCTCCCTTCCACATTTTTTGTAATAAAGTCACTTTTAGCATCATAAATTGAACACTTAATTTTATGATTTCCATTTTCAATTTTTAAAATAAACTTATCTAAAGCTAAAGGTGCGACAAATACCCTTTTAGCTAACACCATCAGTTTTGTTTTTCTAATGTTAACTGTGATCCTATGGCTTAGGTGGGGAATATCAAGTTTCTCCATAAGGAAGTGATTATGGTTCCCCACATTGGAGTAGTTCAAAGTATTTTCATTGCTCATCCGTGATAAGTAATTTGCAATTTATTGCTAATATTTCTCTTTAACCCATGAATCTATACTTGTATATTTTTAAATTTCTGAGAATATGGAACATTTTTACTATACTTTCTTATTGCTTTCTACATAAACTACATTGAAGTCAGGAAGGCAAAGTTCTATTTCTGTTGTTGATTCTTTGACATTTGTTTAGACTTTGACTGTCAATTAGTAATGCATAAGTAATTTTTAGAAATCCATATGACTATACAGTTCTGACATTTGCATATAAAACTCCATGTGTGTGCATGGGTCTGCATATGTGTTTATACACATATACATATATAATTGTGTATGTGTGTGTATATATGTTTATGGCAACCAAATTTTAAAAATAAATATAAATCAAGCTTGTCAACCATCTTTTCCGATTGTCTGTATCTTTATACGTTTTATTTTCATAACCCATTGGTTTCTGACTGAGGTCACTTAAAATCTTCTAACATGGTTATAAATTTGTCAAACTTAACTTTTAATTCTTCAGTTTTGCTTTATGTACTAAGCCTATGATGTTGAATACATAAAAATTCTTAATTCATAAAGTTTCCTGATTGAGGAATTATCCCTCTCTGTTACTGTTTATCACTTTTTCATAAATTCTATTTTATATAATATTAATATTGCTATACCAACTTTCTTTTGGTAACTATTTGCTTGACATATCTTTTTCCTGCCCCTTATTTTCACCCTCTGGTGTGGTTTTGTTTCAGGTTTCTCTAACTGAAAAATATCCAATCTGATAATGTGTGTCTTAAATTAGTAAATTTAACCCATTTAAATTCGTGAATACTGATGTATTTGGACTTATATCTACATCCTTAATTTGGGGTTTCTATTTACCATACTTTTTTTCATTCCTTTTTCCTAATGTCTGTTTAATTGAGATTATGCGCTACATTCCTCCTTTTCTACTCCGTTTGCAATGCATACATTGTACTGTAACCTAATTTTTTTCCAACAAAGTCTGAAGTAACTCAGTAATTTTAACCTATCCCCAAATATGACAAGAGCCTTAGCAGACTTTCAATATCTATTGATTACTCCCTCCAATTTATTATTGTTCACTAGAGTTTTCATTTTACCATTTTTCAAAATACAAAAGGTTTTTTCCCACAATTACTAGCTAAGTGTATAGATTACTGTGATTCATCCATTTCTATACTTATCATTGTTTTTTTTTTTTTTTTTCCCTGCCCCTCCGAATTTACTTTTCTTCTTGCTGAAATACACATTATAGTGATGAAAGTAGTAATTACAAAGATCAAACAACAAAAATTGTGTGGGAAGTCAGGGACCCTGAATGGAGGGACCGGCTGAAGCCGCAGCAGCAGAACATAAATTGTGAAGGTTTCATGGACATTTATTAGTTCCCCAAATTAATACTTTTATAACTTCTTACGCCTGTCTTTACTGCAATCTCTGAACATAAATTGTGAAGATCTGAGGGACACTTATCACTTCCCCAATCCATACCCTTGTGATTTCCTATGTCTGTCTTTACTTTAATCTCCTAATCCCGTCATCTTCTTCGTAAGCTGAGGAGGATATAAGTCACCTCAGGACCCTGTGATGATTGCGTCAACTGCACAGATTGTTTGTAGAGCATGTGTGTTTGAACAATATGAAATCTGGGCATCTTGAAAAAAGAACAGGATAACAGCAGTGTTCAGGGAACGCCAGAGATAAGACTTCTGGCCACCAGTGAGCCGGACAGAACAGAGCCGTATTTCTCCTCTTTCTAAAGCAAATAGGAGAAATATCGCTGAATTCTTTTTCTCAGCAAGGAACATCCCTGAGAAAGAGAATGCGCCCTGAGGGTAGGTTTACAGACGGCCCCTTTAAGGCCTGCTGTCTTTTATGGTCCAAGCTGAAGGGATGAAATAAGCCCCCGGTCTTCTGTAGGGCTCCCAGGCTTATTAGGAGGAGGAAAATTGCCACCTAATAAATTGTGGTCAGACAGGTTATCTGCTCTCAAACTGTTTCCTGATGTTATCAATGACAAAGCGTGCCTGAAACGTCATTAGCAATTTTAATTTCGCCCCATCCTGTGGTCCTGTGATCTCACCCTGCCTCCACTTGCTTTGTGATATTTTATTAGCTTGTGAAGCATGTGATCTCTGTGACCCACACCCTATTCGTGCACTCCCTCTCCTTTTGAAAATCGCTAATAAAAACTTGCTGGTTTAAGGCTCGGGGAACATCAGGGATCCCGCCTACATGTGATGTCTCCCCCAAACTCCCCCTCCCCCCGACACCCAGCTTTAAATTTCTCTCTCTTGTGCTCTTTCCCTTTATTTCTCAAACCAGCTGAGACATTTAGGAAATAGAAAAGAACCCACGTAACCAGCGGGTTCTCCCGATAAAAAATACCTTAAAAGATAACAATAAAATGTTTAAAATTGTCTCTGTAAAATTATTATTAAGTCTAAAACTCCTATTCACAGGGGAATAAACTGAAAGAGGAAAAAACAATTTGTTTAGAGTTAAGATTAGGTCAGAATTAGTACCAACACTTTAGTTGAGTTTAGGAATTCAGAAAATACCACAACCTTCTGACTCCACTCTCCATACCATTCTTGGAACCAAAACTCCCCTTTCGGTCATAAGCAGGCCCCACATACAAAGGAGTGTCATGAAAAAAGCAGAATACAGAAAAATAGGCAATGAATTCAGAAGAGCTGAGTTCCAGCTTTAACCATGGTACTAACTGCTGCAGCAACTTTGGGTAAGTCAGTAAACCTTTTGGGACCTCATTCCTCATGGCTGAAGTCAAAATGATCTACCTTGCGAGGTTTTTATTAAGAAGAGTAAATGAAGCAACGAACACAGATGCACCTTATATAAGAAGATTAGATACATACATACACATGAGCACAATTTTTTAACTATATGCAGACTATACAGTAGCATTATCAGTTTAGATTAGTAATTTGTGCTAAAATTGGACTAGACCCAAAACAAATATGAAACAAGGTGAAGGCTAATTTCCTATCCACTTCCTACTTCCCACCTTCTGTGGCAGCCTTGATTTTCCCTCCATTAAAATGCTGGAAGTGCCTGGCGGCCTTCATTGCCTCTTTCACGGCAGGCAGGCTTACAAATCAGGGCGCATGGTCTTTTCTTATCTCTTTAATGAGGTAAGCTGGGCTGAGCACCTGTCTGCTACTGTGACCTGGACGTCATATTACTGGCACCACAGCTCCTCTTGCACATTAATTTTAAATGACATCCTTTCACTTGGACATATTTCCCAGATTTTGACCTGTCTTTGTTCATCTCATTTTAGTTCCCTAATAAATCTATATCCTTATTAATCATTATTTTTCCTAACTTGGAAAACAGTCAGCTATTCCAAGTAGTGAGAATGCTCATTTAAGATCCCCTGAGATCCAGCATGGATGGCCTTTCTGTGTAAGGCTAACCTATTACTGCATTATCACAGTCACAAAATAATAGCACATCCAGAGGCAAACAGAAAGACAAAGAAGAGAAGGGGAGGGCAGTCCTGTTCAGTTATCTCCTGCTATATGACTTACAGAATACAACAAAACAATGGTTACCTATTAGCCTAAGGATGCTATACTATTTGTTTTCATATTAACAACTCATTTAGCTTACATGGCAGGAGAGAGTTTTGTGACAATAATAATTCCTCCTGTTCCAATGAACATGTCTGGAAGGGACATTGCTAAGGAAGTAAAATGAAATACACCGTGTGTTAGTTTAACGCATCTGTTTCTTATATATAAAAACAGAGATGGTTTTTAAAACATGAGTGAAGGACAAGTGGTATGGCAAGTTTTTAGGAAATGGAATCAAGCTTGTAGGGATTTCATAATTTGAAAAAAAAAATGAAAAAAAAAAAGATGCACACAACATATTAGGATAACATCTAACAGATGCAAGGAGTTAGGAAAAGGCTCCATGCATCCTAACATATACTTCAAGAATAGCAGCAATTAAGACAGACATCTCACAGCAACATGCAAAGCCAGGGAGGGTGAGGAAAGTGCCTGGGGACAAGACACAGTTTACAGTCCAAGCCAATAAATCCTCAGGCCCCTAAGGTACCTAAGAAATTCATTTATCTCTAACAGCATGAAAATATAATTTACTTCTCCTAACAGAACTAAGAATGACCTGACCACAGGTTTCCAAGTTGCACCTTCAGCCATCCTGGATTAAAGGTGAATTTGAGCCATAGACTATTCTCCATTCATAAGAAGTAACCCAGAGAAAGGCGGGTCAGTACTGAGAGAAAGGATAAGGACAGACAACTGAAAACTAAGGCTTTTCAATTTCTGTAGTTACTCACACAAGAAATCAGTCAAAAAATATGGAGGCACACCTATACACAAGATGTCATTAAGCATGGATGATTCACTAAGGCAAAATAAGGCAAGCAAGGATGACTATACTGGTCTCATTGAGCTAAATGTTAGTGACCTCAACATAAAACGTCTATGACATCCTCAGCCATGAGAAACATCTCAAGACTCACCTCATGTTTGGAGAAGAGCCGCACGGCCTCCAGCTGGTGGAAAATAGGGTAGTGCTGGGAGTCGATCTGGTCACGCCTGTAGACATCACCCACCACCAGGAAGGCATCTAGCCCCGCGTGCAGCAAGTCCCACTGGTGTGCAGACGTGTGCGCTCTCAGCATGTGAGTCCGATTCAGGTAATAGTTGTCCCCCTTCTTCCTGCTGGGGTGGTCGGCTGGGATGAGCAGGCTGTCAAAGTTCTGCCAGGTCGTGACCACTGGAGAAAGGCTGTCGTAGACCGAGAACAACGGGGTCCCGAAGCGGCCCACGTACTGCTTGTAGAAGTGCTCCTTCACCCTCTCCTTGATCAGCCACAGAGGGTGGTGCTGCTGGTTGTGCAGGTTCCTGCCAACTCTGGTGAGGACCTTCCGGGTGAGGTTGCTGTAGTCGTCCTGAGGGTAGGATGTGCCCAGCAGCTCCACCACACTGCCTGGAGCTCTCTGGGCAGCACACTCTCCTGCAGCAGGTCTCGATCCCCAGGCCTGGTGCTGATGGCCCCTGGAGATGTGACTGGCCTTGCTCACCAGGTAGACATAGGCATGGGCACCTCTCCTGAGAGCTGAGGCCACCATTGTAGAAACTTCTCACGGGTTCTGGAAAGAGCACACAGGCAAAGCACAAGTCAGGTGTCACTCTGTGGAAAGCAAGTCTGTTTTTTGTGTCTCCCACCAGCTGCCTCTTGTCATACTGTCATGTCTCCCCCACTATGACCTCCACACAGCTGAAAGAGCCAATTAAAGAAACCTGACAGATGCGTGATACTTAATGCACTAAATCAGAAGATTCTTGGAAGTCACTTTTAGATCCCTAATCTCTAGTTCTCCTTCCTTTGTCATTCAGATCCTTGGCTTTGTACAAAACCTCGTTTATTATGCTATCATGTCCTGAACTTGTGATGTGGAAAAAAACTTTAAATGTGACAACCTGTACATTATAGAACCAAAAACCTTTAGAGGGATCCCCTAAAATACAGCATTCAATTGGACCCTACGATGGGTCCCACTAATAAAGGAAGCAAATGGTTAGACAGAGGCCTCTGAAGGAGAGTGGAAGAGAAGAGATTAGAAGAGCCATCCTTCACATTTCTACCGATCATTAGAAGTTCTGTTTATCTCTGACGTAGCGTAACTTCTGGATTACTTCACTAGATCACAAAGGGATATTACTAATTTCTTAAAAAGTTTTAAATAAAATACACCACTTTAGATGGTGGTTAACTTTAATATTTTAAAAATAAAATAGAAAATCTAAGGAAATGTTATACAAAGTGATAGCCTATATCAATGGACAGCTGTAAACGCAAGTCTTCTACCGTCTGGTCACTTAAACTTCATACCTTTGTGGCGCCTTCTCAATTACACCTTTGGCAAAACAGCAAATTTCTACCACACACCCACAATTAACCAGAAACAGGACTAAACTTGTTGGGGGACAGTGACAGAGCAGCCAGAAGACAGAGCACTGACCTAGATTTTTAAATAAAATGCCTAGAATTTAATAAAATCACCAAACTTTACAGCTGAAAGTCACCTCAGCTGTCATCTAGTATAGGCGGTTCAAGTCACGGATGAGGTAAGAAAGACCTAAGTGTAACAGCGAAACTCTAAGCTAGTGGAAGAGTTCAATAAGACAACCGCAGAGGGCTGTGGACCACTCACACGGTGTCTTCTTCCCACTCCCACAGAAGCCCGTTATGAACTCACTCAGGGATCCCAATAAGGAGAGTCTTGAGATGTCACTTCCCCATGTTCACAAATAATTTACGTTCACAAACTTCAATTATAAAAATCCATCTTCTAAAATGTGGAATTCTTCCCTACTGGGCTACTTTAAAGCATACAACTACGTGGCTGTTTTACTGCAAGGGCCGTGCAATTATACCAAGAAAATATGTAACTTCATGATATGAAGCTGCATTTGGAGAGAATTATATTGTTCCAAGTCACTATCAAAGGCACAGTCTGTCCCTGGACAACACAATCCACCTGACTCCAAATTAGAACTGAGGATATCTAGCTTCAAGTTGAAGGGCTGTGCTTGCGTGTGATTGCTTCTTAGAAGCCGTGCACAGCACCTTTGTCTGAGACTGTCATCACTTGAGACATTTTCAAAGATACCCAGGAACTCTCTGGTTTTATTCACTTACGGCATTATTTTGTCAGAGTTGTTGCAAAAGGGCTTTCGGCTGAGCTTCAACTGAAATGTCTTCCCATCTAGTGTTCAGTGACTTGTCACTGCAGTGGATATGAATTTTAAATATGCATATGCAGCCTTACACGTCTTAGCACAAAATGAAACCGTGAGGTTATTAGCTACCTAACTCAGCACCCTCGCCAAAACATAGGAAAACCTTTCTTCCTTCCAAAGGCATATGCTGTTAGACAAAGTTCAGAATTGTTCTGGGAAAGGTGCTTCTGATGCAGTTATTTGTGGGCTGCTGTCGATGCTTTTCCTTCCCAGTTTCCTGCTCTTCACACATCCAAATCCACACTTAGGTTCCATTCCCAGGGATGCACCCCAGCCTCGTGTCCCTTCCTTGCTCTCCTCACGCAGTCCCCAGCTTCCCGATGAAAGTTTGAGGTTCTTGCCCTCGTTTTCAGGCCTTCTATCTATCTGCTCAGCCCTGCTTACATTCTTCACTGTCATTCACCCCACCCAGAAAAGTATTTGTCCTCTATTACCATCTCTAACAGGGAAAGGGATGACTAGGAGAGCCTTCCCACTTCTATCTGAGAAGTGACTTCCTTTCCTCCCACCTCTATCAAATTTCTCTATAAGAAATGTATCCTCTGGAAATACATAAGAGACCCACGAGGATAAGACCAACGACGCTCATACTATTAACACACTGTTCTTCCATTTGATCCTTCAACAGTTCTGTGATGTAGGTATTGTACATACCACTCTACCAACAAAGAATATAAAGCTCAAAAAGATCACGTAACTAGCATAAATTCATATGCCTAGCTAGCCATGAGACACAGTTCAGAATTCTTGGCAATTCATATATAGCTGACCCTCAAACAACATGGATTGAACTGTGAGGATCCACTTACACGCAGATTCTTTTCAATAACAGTTACACTGAGTGTGACTGCCCCTCCTGCCTCCCCTGTCACCTCCTCTATCTCTTCTACCTCTGCCAGCCCTGAGAAGGCAAGACCAATCCCTCCTCTCCCTCCTCAGCCTACTCAACGTGAAGATAAGAATGAAGATCTTTAGGATGATCTACTTCCACTTAATAAATAGTAAATATATTTTCTCTCCTCATGATTTTCTTAATAACATTTTCTCTAGTTTATTGTAAAAATACAGTATATAATGCCTGTAACATATAAAATACGTGTTAATCAACTGTTTATGTTATCAGTAAAGCCTCCAGTTAACAATTAGTAGTTAAGTTTGGGGGAAGTCAAAGGTACACAGGAATTTTCAACTGACTGAGGGAGGGTAATCAGTGCCCCCAAAGCCCCCATGTTGTCCAGGGGTCAAGTGCATTTCTCAGTAGGGTGTGGTGGCTCACGCCTATGATCCTAACACTCCGGAAAGCCAAGGCGAAAGGATCACTTAAGCCCAAGAGTTCGAGAGCAGCCTGGGCAACATGGCAAGACCCTGTCTCTAGAAAAAAAAAAAAAATTTCTTTAATAAATTAGCTGGGTATGGTGGCACACACCTGCAGTCCCAGCCACTGGGGAGCTAAGGCAGGAGGACTGCATGAACCCAGGAGTTCAGGCTTCAGTGAACCAGGATCGCACCACTGCACTCCAGCTTGGGTGACAGAGTGAGACCCTGTTTGACCAAAAAAAAAAAAAAAAAGTATTATTTCTCAATCAAAAGTCCAAGATTGTTAAGTTCAAATGATATCTCTGCAATGACCTCCCTTAACTTCTATTTTATCTAATTGAGATTATATATCAATGTGTTTTTAAATACACAAATGCATGAATAAGTAAATCCAATAAAACACATTAGTTTAGATGGTATAAATGAAATAAGTATTTAACTACAGACCTAAGGGTCAAATCTGCCCACAGTCGTCTGTTTGGGTTTTTTTTTTTTTTTTTTTTTTTTTGTGGCTTTGGCCTTTTTTTGTTTTTGAGACAGGGTCTCACTCTGTCACCCAGACTGGAGTGCAGTGGGATGATCATGGCTTACTGGAGCATTGACCTCCCAGACTCACGTGATCCTCCTGTTTCAGGCTCCAGTGGCTCCCTGCCTCGGAGATAGCTAGGATTACAGGTCCAAGCCACTACACCTGGCTAACTTTTGTATTTTTTGTAGAGATGAGGTTTCACCATGTTGCCCAGGCTGGTCTCAAACTCCCGGCTCAAGTGAGCTGCCCACCTCAGCCTCCCAAAGTGCTGGGATTACAAGCATAAGCCATTGTGCCTTGCCCATAGTCTGTTTTTGCAAATAAAGCTTGTTGGAACACAGCAACAGCCATTTGTTGATTTAACATCTGCAGTGGCTGTCTTGCTATCAAGGTAAGATTGAATAGCTGCTACAGAGACTGTGTGGCCCACAAAGCCCAAATACTCACTATCTGGTCTGTTATAGAAAGAGTTTGCTGAGCCCTGTTTTAGCTTAACCTACTGAAAAATTTTTCCACATTATTAATAAAATCTTCCTAGTCACAAATATATGTAGATTATAAACTCACAAAAAAGGAGCAAGAATACAAATGTGGACATGAAGTATGTTAGCACTGGTACAAAAGAAACAATCAGACCAACTATAAGAAGAGAAAATACAGTATAATGGGCAACAGGCCAGACTTCGCGGAGATGCCAATGTTGGTTTGATCCTAAGTTGACCTCTTAGCTGCCGTGTATCATCCTTAAAAACATTATTTAACCTTTCTGGCCCTCAAGGTCCTAATCTGTAAAAGAGAGAAAAATAATACCTATCTCATAATGAAAAAATTACACTAGATTGTGTTCATCAGCTAATTAACTCATTGCTCAGTGTTTAACAGATAAGATAAGCTGAATTCAGAGTTAAAAGTGACCCAGAGATTTCAAGAGATCGGGTAACAGATGAACTAATAAAGTCATTCACTGATACAGAGAACTCAGAATGGGTTTACGTTGTTTGTTCAGATCATCTTTTGTAGAGGGAAACAGATTTGGACAAACGGAAGTTCAGTATGAATGAGATAGCCACATTACAATTTCTGTAAGGCAATTCGAGTTATATTATAGTTTGGAAAGGAGGTAAGACATTAGTCCTGGAAATGTAGACCTTGGAGGTAATTTGCATAGACGGAAGGGTTAATATCACAAGCATATATAAGAATCCATGGGAGGCTAAGAGCAAGATAGAAGTGAGCAAAAGATAGAAGAATACTTGGAACTTAGCACATTGAAGGGAAGGGGATGTAAGGAGTAAGACAGAGGGGACATAAAGGGTGCCACAGCACAGAAGTCAGGGGAAAAGACATCTAGAAGGAAACAGGGGCTTTTTCTGAACCCAAATACCACTCAATGTGCAAGTTTAGCGTGCCGTATTATTGCTACCTGCTGTTGTCTGTATTCCTACTAGACTGTGTGGTTCTTGAGAGAAGAACACACAGTCACACATATATATGTACATA